TCACAAAATTATAAAAAATTCTTTCATCCTCGATACTGCTGCAGACTGAACATCAAATGAATACGGTTAGCAACTTCTTTCGAACAAATTTGACTGGAAGATTGTTTTTTTAAATTGTTACTGGAAAATATTCATGAATTTATTTTAAAAACCGTCAAAAAATTCATCGCCACGAAGTGTTGAAGAACTACAGGTGAAATTGGAAGGGTCATTGCGTGTTGGTTGGTTGAAATCTTCCGCTTAAGTTTTCTTGATGCTGCCAGGCGCGTAAATGGATGGCATTAATATGACGTAATAGATTTCAGACTATATTTTTGATTACTGCTGTTAAGTAATCACACTGAAAAAATTATTTTTATTAATGAAAGTATAATACAATAGAAAATAACAATGTTTTAACAATTAGTTTTTGCTCTCCTCAGAAACTTTCACTGACTCTACTTTACCATTTAGTCACCCTCAGCAATAACATTAATAGAACAACCACCATCATTTTGTTCATAACAAACATAATTAATTTTAATAAAACTGAAGCCGTTGTCGTCGAGGTTGTGGCTACCAACAAAATAATATGTATGTTTATAATGTAGTAACCGCTGCAAATGTATATTCGGCTTGCTGCTCCAGTCAAATAATTATAAAATTAATTTATGCTTCTGCTAATAAATTGTAATGTAATAATTTACGTTTTTGTTGATAATTGACTTGTAATAATGCACAGGGTAATGAATATTGAAAAAAAAAACCAAAACAGACAGCAACATGGAGACGACTTTGAGGAGGATGACGACGATGATGATGAAGATGATGATGATGACTGAAGTGATATGGTGATGACAAACGACGACGATGATAAAGAGAATGATTGTGACGGTGGTGAATGTGATGACGATGATGATGATGACGATGAAGATGATGATGGTGGTGATAAATGTGATGATGGTGAAGATGATTATGGTGATGATGCGTGCAGTGGTGATGATGATGACGACGACGATGATGATGACGACGATGGCAATGAATGGGATGATACTTTGCATTAATACTTTGGGTATTATTACGTATATTTCTAGCAATATTGTTCTCATTAACGAAGTTGTCATCAGTGATTCTCTCCTCTGCTTTTATGTTCTGTTTTCTATGTTTTGCTCTATATTCGTTGATGCTGTTACTATTATTATTATTATTATTTTATTATTATTATTGCTATTATTATTATTATTATTATTATTTTTCTGCCAGAAGTCCACCGGATTATTAGAAATCGTATCGCAGAATTTGTTAATAAAATTATTATTGCTATTATTATTATTGTTGTTGTTGGTGTTGTTATTATTGTCATGATTGCTATTTGTTATTATTTTTTAGTTGGTCTACAGTATTGTTTATATAAAACTTTAACATCGGCCTACAAATTAAAAACAAAACAATCAATTGATTCTTTTAAACAGACCAATAAATAATCAATTCAGTCGGACGCGAAAAATTTGTTTTTATGCAAGAAAAATTTTTTGACGAGAAAATTTGTTCTTGCTGATGACTGAATGTCGTTATTCCGCTGTCGCTCATTCATTTCATTTCGTTACGAAGACTCGCCGTTTCATGTATATCCAGTTTTTGTCCATCAAGTTTCCCCACGCATCATTTAATATAAACGTCGACGTTTCTATCTTTGCTCCCTCTCTTATTACATTTGCTTCTCTACCAGTTCTTTTTCCATAATTTTCCAAATCTAACTTTCTCCTGCGGCTGCTTTTTACTTCTAACTGACCGATGACAATTTTATTTTCGCTTTTCTCTTCCACACATTCTACCTTCTCTTTTTTTAATGATTGATAAAGAACTATTTACTTTCTGTCTAAATAAGATTTCAAAGCAAAATTTAAATCTTACATATATTTATTATGTATATAATAAAATACGTAAAATGTGCATGATTGAAGCGACACACTGAATGAATGCTGGATGATAATTAAAATGTATGAGGGCAGACGTTTATTTCTTACATTTTATTAGGTTCTTTTTTAAAAATAAATTTCATCACGTATAGTCGCGTTTTTCTGAAATCAAAATCCAACATTAGAATGAAAATTAATTTAAAATCCCCTTGTGACCTCAAGTCCAACAAGTGCAAAACAAAAGTTTCCGAAATTTTTTTTCACACATTCATTGACGAGACTAAAAGGCAAGCAGGATGAAATATTATGAAATATAATGAAAGAAAGCGTTCCGTCGGTTATTTCAAAGTACATTTTAGACATAACCAGCTACATTGACAGAAGTAAGAACTAAAATAATAACAACAACAATAATAATAATAACAGGAACAGTTTACGTGGGTTCACTAATTGCATTATTTACGCGGTTTAAACGTGCATTAGAATGAGAAGATGACTCGAGTTGGTCACATTTTTTGCTGTAGGTCTGTCTGCCGGTCCCACATTTCATCATTAGGTCACTTGTGAGATTTCTAACCTATCAACTATTCACGTGTCAGGAGCTCCGATGCCACATGCTAATTTTTGTTTAATGTTACCTACGATTCTAAAAAGTTTTTCAGAAGAACTATATTTCTGACAAAAAAGGTTTCTACTTTTGTTTTCTTCTTATTTGTCTTTAGGCTGGCTTATTTAAATAAAAAATTTTTAGAGAAGTGGGAAAAGTTTTACTTTTAACTCACTGTAAGTAAATGAGTAAATAAATAAAAAAAAAGAAAAATAATATATAAATATTCATATGTATTCATTTCATTTATTTAATTATATACTTATTTATTTCCTAAATAATGTGAAATATTCTCAAATGTAAAATATTCTCTCGTAAATAAAAGTATAATGTAAGCCATAAAAATGAACGATATTTGAATCTGGTGGGTGTGGGGGGGGGCAGTACAAGAAGATGTAAACGTAAAAAAGATGTAACTTTAGCGTGCGCTTATAGAAAGCTCTAATAAAGTTTTTATGCCTACTTATACTGCTACTTCAACTTGACCATTAGTCAAGCCAGACTGGACACGTATGAATGAATATGTGCTCATAAAAATGTTCGTGCTCTACTAACACACACGTACTACACTAATACTGCGTCCACCTTTTTGTATGTACAACATTTTTCGTATATTTGTATACATAGGTGTGTTTCGACAGCGTGTATCACCTGGATTGTCTGTCTATCAATTTGTCTAATCCAATACAAATTGGTGGGTAACCAAGAAATTATAATTGATATAAGTGAGGAAATGTTATCGAAAATAAATATAGATTGCAAAAAATGCGGTTGAATGTAATACTGAAAAATTCCTTATGTCTGTATAAAACATTCTTGTTAAATGGATTTGTTATACTTCATAAATTTATTTTTTTTTAATTTTTGCAATTTAGATGTGAATGAATATATTTGAAGAATAAACACTCATATAATTTTATTTGACAAAACATCGACACACCACTTCTGTACAATGATTTGTATGTTTAAAAGTACATAAATACTTATAACATATTGTAAATTAAATGTATTTGTTTATGTATATTTTATTTAAGAAATATTTTTAAAAAATTTGGCACATTATAGGAAAAAATTAATGCAAAATGGCTAAACTAAACATGTTCTTAATATACGTAATATTAAAATAACATATAAGAGAATCGTTTGATCTAGTTCACTTAAGAAATTTTTAGCTTGGAACGTCTAAATCAAAATCAATATTTAAGCTTGGCTTAGATGGTTTTCTAAGTTTTTCTAACGAATGAATTGCACATAGGAATTGAAATATACCAAATATTCAACTTATCTAAAATGCCTTGCTTACTTTAATACTTCTTGTCAATCACCCGAATGATGTTATGCATGTTCTTGTTCCCAGCAAAGTTTGCAATGGTGAGAATGTAATTGGACATAAAATGCCAGGTTTGAAACATCGTGAAGTAAAATGAAGTAAAGTTAAAGCATGATAATATCTAATTTTTTAATTTTCACGTTTTTTTATCTTTCTAAAAAAGAATTATTTTTATTTTTGGCTGCTACTTAATTCTGCTATTGTGTTTTTATAAAAAAAATCTGAAAAATTATCGATTCGCAGGCAAGAAAGTACATTTGAAATCAAATTATGAAGGCGCCTGATATATGTATAATAATGTATGAATACAACAGAATGGAACATATTGTTGAAACATAAACACACAAAACTATAACTCACGAAAAAAGTTTTGTTGGATTTTTCATTTGATTTCGATTACTTTTTAGTAATTAACATCAAGATAATTTTTTTCCAAAAATGCCAATTTTTATTTTTTTCTATCTTGAAATTCCTTCGCCATGATTATTCATTCAGACATGGCTCCGTTTATATTTTCAAATTGAAGCACACCTGTCTCGAAACCTCTTAAGGGGTAAGGTTGAAGCACACCTGTCTCGAAACCTCTTAAGGGGTAAGGTTGAAACACACCTGTCTCGAAACCTCTTAAGGGGTAAGGTTGAAGCACACCTGTCTCGAAACCTCTTAAGGGGTAAGGTTGAAGCACACGTGTACAAATGGAGATTTCCTAAAGAGTTGTTGTTGCAATTTTATTTTACGTCCTCTAAGTTGCAGCCTCATGCCGTCAATGCTGGATTTTTATGATTTCCTATTACGTTTTTATCGAAAATTTTTACTTTGTAATGAGTTTTTTGTGTGTTTTTGTTACCGTAATCGTTATTTAGTTTGTAACAACTATGTATTGCCAGCCTTACCATTTTAGGGCAAAACTTGTAGACGCGCCCCTATGTATTATTGATTTTACCAATGGTATTACCCAATAAGCAAAAATTTTAGATATATGCTGGAGATTTTTTAGCTAATTTTTAATCTAAGTGTAAAATTGAATTTTTGAAAGATGTGTTTTATTGAAAATAAGTATATAAATGAGCAATGCAACACAATTAGATTATTTTTACAACAGACGTTTTTATGACACAGATAACATATTCTTCTAATAAAATCTGCGAAACATTGATTTAAGTTATTAAAATGTAATTTTTCTAGCTTTTTTGTAAGCAAAATTTTTTATCAGACTTGAAAAATCTAAATTTTCTGCTATTTTATGCTCGACTGACAACTTGGCCAAAGAGTTAAGTGAATCTTGCAACATAGTGTTTCTTAAATATGCTTTAATTAGCTTCAGATAGGTTCGTCAGCATCATTTTCGTCGAAATAACGTTTCGCTCGTCGCACCCTTTTCATTGGTTTTAATATAGATTCGAAGTTTAAGTCTTTAACTAATTCTTTAGCATCAGCCATTGCTTGTTTGAAGCCAAACATTCTGTAATTTTCTAAATACTTAATACATTTTTTAAGCATTTCAGCGCTCTGTACCAGATCCATGTTCTTGGCTTTCATTGCATTATTAACAACGTCTATTTGAAACAGTACACTGTACCATGCATTTCAAGAGATCAGAAAAATATAATCTTTTAATTGTTCTGTTAATGTAAGTGCTTCGTAGCAATGTCAGGAGTTTTGGTATCAGTTTCATATTTAGTAATTAAATCATCATGCACGCTACTTACATGGTGTCGGATTGCTTTGAAACTTTCAATTTTGGCTTCCCAACGAGTATCAAATAATCTTATAAGTAACTAAATCGTAAATTATTTAACCAATAAACAAGTTCGCACGACTCGCAAAACGTACCAAAAATCATAGATGATTTTGGGTGAGATACAAAATATGTGGCACCGCAAAAAATACAAGCGCACAAAATAAATTTTAGTTACTAAAACTTTTGAAAAGATGATGATAAAATTTAGTTCTTTGATTAAAGTTTTTTTTAACAAATTATTAGTATGAAAAGTAAATTAGTTTCCAGGAAAAATTAATTTATGTTAAAAATAGATATAAGTTTAACTAAATCTATTTTCAACTTAATTTTATTATAAAATAAACATTTGACGCCCTCAGTTACCTGGCCCCCTTAAGGCCGGCACTGCAACAACAGAATATCATAATAATGACGAATGAAAAAACAATTACTAAAGCTTCAACATCGTCCGTGTTTATTCTCATTAATGACGAAACAGTTTATGTTAATTCTGCCATCAACAGAAGCAGGGTGCTCTAAAATTGTTTTCCATAAATTGGCTTTGCTAATTAATCCTGCCCTTTCCGCAGCATGAATTCTATGAATAAATGCTGCTGTCTAAATGGAATTGATCATAAAAATGTGGATTGGTCAGATAGAAGGTGGTCAACCTTTTCCACGCACCAGCCCAACGAACTTCTGACTACGCAACTGATATCCATCAGTACAACCTTTCTTGAAACAAGTAATTAATGTTTAAATGAAATAGGCAAAAAAATCAGTGCTGCAATCAAACTGTCGTGTCAAATTAAAGCTCCTTTTGCTTCAGAGTAAATATTTAATTTCATAATATCGTTTACCAAGAATTCAATTTTCGAAATAATTTTTCGACATAAAATTTTTTAATTTTTAAATACTACAAATTTCACTTAGAAAAATTGACTTTCAATCCACTGCATGTAAACTTGCTACATAGACGCCATCGACCACAAACACAAATAATGCAAGTACTTCTGGAGCAAACAACTTTACGTCAATTTTTGTAAAAAAAAAAACATTGTTAAAACTACTGTCAATAAAATCAAAAAATTTAAAAAAATAGCGGAAAAACTAAAATTTTACTTTGAATATCAAAGGTTCAACATCCTACTTTTCATTAGTTAAGAAGCGAGGCTGAGCTGGTTCAAAATCATATTTTGTAGAAAAAGTAACGTTGCCAGTAACAGATATCACAAGTCGGATACAGTATGTTGTTACAAAGCATGAAAGTTCAAATGGATTGTAAATGGATAATTATTGATTTTAGCGAAGTATTATCAATTTTTACTTACAAAAAGATCAAAATTCACAAGCAAAACGAATAAAGTATTGAATAGTAAATGAACAAACAGCACGTCAACTTATAGGGATACCGAAAATAATCATATAAAAGTGCGCGCGGCTTTCCATGCCTCACCGTAAAAATGTAGAATCATTTCCGGGATGAATGTTTCCTTTTATAGTTTTCTATTTTAGAATAATTGCGATTATGCCGTAACGCAGTTCCCAACCGACACATATTTCGAAGCATCCGTCAGTGTTGAATGCACTAGCTGGTCATTTTTATTTCATGTTTAATTGTGACATTGAACTGTAACGCGTTGCTGAACAAGGGCACACAGAAGATCAATTATTATCTGCACTGACATCATGCCACAGCAATCAACAGTGTAAATAACACAGCCAGCCAGCAGTCAGCGAGACTGTGAAACACCGTGAAGCATCACGAAAGAGGAAGAAGAGTTATGAGGCGATGCACGTGATAGATATAACGGAGATCACACGAGAACTTTCCCTTGTTGTGCATCGCTCATTCAATGAAGGAAGACCAGCTGACACGCAAACATTCGCGCGTTACATGTACTGTACGCGTGTCCTTGGGTTTGTTTGCACTCGTAAATTAATTCTACAACAATGGTTAGCTACGTAAACTAATAACAAATCAGTCAATCAATCAACTGCGTTGGACTTTAATTAATTAAAGTGCTAATCAGTCAACTCATCAACCACCGACTGGTTATTTCAAACACCATCTCGTACGAACAAACATTTGCATGTTGTGTGCTTTTGCACGTTTTGTGGTTTCCTCTACAAAAGTATTAGTTAAATGTTACATTAGTGTTTATTTATATAATAAATTATAATAATTTGATAGGTTGAGTAGGATTTGTATGCAAATGCTCATGAACATGAGTGTATGCGGATGTGATTAAGCATGTGAATGTGCGGTTTGCATGGAAGAGGGCACGTGCCGGATGTCATCCCTATGCAGGCAGGCATGCAGGCAGGTATGTGTCATTTGCATGTTTGCGTTAAGGCTTGCATCCTGCCATTACATGCACAGTGATGTTCTTTCAGAGTGTTTGTTATCTGAAAGCAAATGTCCTGAGGTGAATGCTCTTAAGTTTCTCTTTCTCACTATCTATTCTTTTATCTACTTCTATTTTGTTTCCCTCTCATCTACTCTCACTTATCTTTTTCTATCTTTTTTTTCCAATTTCATTTTTATACGCAAAAACTCGAAATACTAAATCAATAGTTGCAGAGTTGATGGCAGTCAAAGAACGTTGACTCTGACGTAAGTATGTTTCACATGTGCAACCAGCAGTTTGCATGCTGCTTAATGACAATATTTCATTGGGATGAAGTGACTCCCAAGTTAATAAATGCTCCATTTCATTTCATTGCAAATATATTCAAAGATATTATTAACTGACTAAAAAATTTTACTAGCAAACAAGCCAAAAATTGACTTGAAATGATGAACGAATGGATGAACGGATAGTATGAATGAATGAATGGATGGATGGATGGATTGATGGATGGATGGATGGATGGATGGATGGAGGATGGATAGATGGATGGATGGATGGATAGATGGATGGAAGGATGGATGAAAGGATGGATGGATGGATGGATGGATGGATGGATGGATGGATGGATGGATGGACGGACGGATGGATGGATGGATGGATAAATAAATAGTTAAATATATGGATGAATAGATAGTTGGGTGGAAACATATTGTCAGCAAGTCACAAAATTTTACTTAACAAAAATTTTGTTACATTAAATGAAATTCGTTTTCAAACATTTTATTACAACTATCAAAACCACGTAAAACATTGTACTTGTGCCTGTTAAATTTTTTATTTTACTTTTTCACAGATGATATTTGTTTCAGATTCTAGTGCCAAAAAAAAAATCTACTCTCAACTTCCACACAAAGAATATTAAAAGAGGCCATGGTGTCATTTGCTGAAAATTTTTAAGCTCCCATCAAAGATGGTGTTTCGAAGTTGTCGTTAAGGCTCGGCTTATGAAACAATTGCGTGCTGCATAGACCTTCAAACCTCAGAGCTAATTTGCGGTCCGATTTTGAATTTTTTTTGGTTCTAGGGGAAGTTGTGGTCTGTGATGTTTTTGTAGGTGGTGGTGTTGCTGCTGCTGCTGTTGTTGTTATATGTATGTCGTAGAGATGTTGCTATTTTGGCGTTTTTGTTGTTTTTTGGCGTAGTTTTTGCTGTTTTTTAAGTTGTCTTAACGCTATTTATAGCGGTTTATACATCATTAATTAAAATTTTAACGATTATTGTTGTTGTTGTTGTCTGTTGTCGTTGTTGTTGTTGTTGCTGCTGCTGCTGCTGTTGTTGTTGTTGATGTTATAGACGTTGTTCTAAATGATGTTGTTTTTGATATTGTTGTTGCTATTGCTATTGCTGTCGTTGTTGGTGTTAATACTGTTTTTTTGTGCATGTTAACGATCAGACAGATGCAACTATCAGAGTGTGTTCACGATGTCGAAACGAATGAGACCATCCGATAAAAGCCATTACTTAACAAGTTATTATTCTTGCCATCATAACGCAGACAAACATTACAAGAACATTTTGCTGAAATGATTTCAATGGATTTTACTTTTATTACATATCATCAAATCAAACGTCACATATTGTTGTTGTTGCTGTAATTGTTGTTGTTGACAGGATAATTTCAAATTACATACAAAACATCATACTTGCAACTCCACCAAACATTAAATTAAAATTTAAAATTTGAGCACACAAAACCTAACAGGATCTGAGCAAGCCTATGAATATAAAAATACAACTTTTGTAACTACAAACATGTCAAACAGCAAACACATGACTACAAACCGAACATAACACAAGAACAAAACACTACAAAAATATAAAGAATAAATATATATATAATGTGTGTGTGTGTGTGTGTGTGTGTGTGTGTGTGTGTGTGTGTGTGTGTAGGTATGTGCATGTGTGTGTGTGCGAGTGTGTGTGTTTTTGTATATTGTCTACTGATACACGTAAAAGAAGTCACGTAGAGCCATTTCACACATGCAGTAAACTTAGATGATCATTCAAGCATTCACACGTCACATACGCTTACACATACATGCGTACACAAATACACACACACATACAAACACACACACACACACACAAACATGACTATTCACACATATTCACACATATACATAATGCAAATGTACATGACCGTACACACACACACACACACACACAAACAAACATGCAAACTAACATATAGATGACCATTCGAACGGAGCACATCCACGAGTCGATATATTCAATAACTATAAATAATCGATACGAACCACGGAGAAATGCAAAAGTATACATTCTCCTCAGATAACTCGGCGATCAAAAATAGTCAGAATGTTCGTAATTTTAAAACGATAAAAAAAATTTAAGCTCCAATATAATATTATTTTTTAGTATTTACAATTTCAAATATAATCGGCCACCTACCGAAAAATTGTTTTAAGAGTTTGGACGAATAAATTTTAAAAACGTTTCCTTTAATTTAATGAATATTCATTCGTAAAATAAAAATAAAGTTTTGTACTTTGTGGTGACTGATATCCCAACATGAAGAAAATATTGCCAGGGCATAATATGCCGGCATAATGTTGTAACATGTGAAAAATAAAGACGCTGATTAATTGGAGTTTACAGCAAGAAGAGCATTATCACAAAAATATGAATACATGTCAAATTCTTAGCAAAAACGTCATCAGAAATACCTTTAAAAATTCAGTATAAAATTTTTTAAATTATTTTTCTCCTCTATACTCGAATTTTTTTTATATTAACACAATGCATGCAATTCATCTAGAGATCTACTAAATTAATAATTCAACAGCATGTTTTGTGTGACAAGTCCAAAAACAAGCTGTTTTGAAGTTTGATGATAATAATGATTAGAATGATGATGTTAACGCTACTAAGGAATGATGAACCAATTCGAAGAGTGTATGATGTCTAATGATTAATGTCAACATTCATTATGGTGTGTACCTGCTGGCAAATCTTAAGTAGGTATTAAACAATGATGATATGATGATGGTGATGATGATGACTATGATGATGATGAAGATACAATGATGATGATGATGATTGTGGTGGCGGTGGCTATTGTTGTGTTGGTTACTCTGGAGATGGTGATAATGACAATGATGATTAATGATGATGATGACGACGATGTTTTCAAATTGCGAATTTTAAAATGAATGAAACATGTGTTAATTAGCAATGAGCTGCACTTAAAAACTCAGTCATTAGATACTTAGCATGTACGAGCATCTATCTATCTACTAATACAAACATCTAAGCGTACACTCACGTACGTCTGTATTTATACATTCATTTTGGTAGCAACAAACAAAACTGCTATTATCTTCATCATCTTCATTACCTTCATCATCTTCATCGCACCTAAATAATTTGTTGGAAAGGTTTCTAGTGAGTTTTTAGCTATGAAAAGTCATTTAAAGTGTCGGCAGTCAATATTTTAATCATGCAGCAATTGCAGTTTACGAGCATTAAAGTTTCTGTCTGTAAAACATATTTAGTCAAAGTTTCATGCATAACATTTTTAAGCACAATATTTTTTTAAGTCAGACATGTTTTTAAGTTTACTGAATGAGTTCAGTCGAAAAAATAACTCAGGTGGTGGAAGAGCCGTCTGTTCTCATGTGCTCGCTGTTGTGCGTTAACTGGGTTCAAATGGTGCCTGTGAAATATTTTCAATATTAAATATATATTTTCAAGTTGTGTTGTGCGGTACAGATCTTGTGGTCTTGGTCGCACAAAATTATATTTGTTAATAAAAAAAGTTGGAAGATGTCCTGCAATCAGTCATGCGGTTGACAGTGCTGCATAAATCAAAACGAAAGGCTAAAAAATAAGTGCAGGTAATAAAACTGCTGGCAGTGGAGCACCAACATCATCAAAATCTCAACTTTCGGTTTCAATGCGTTCTCGTTTGTTACCGCGACAATTATTTTAATTTTTTAAACGTCTTTACTCACTCTCAGTTTACGCCTTCATCATAAAAATTATCATCACTATCGTCGTCATCCTCATTACCATTATCACCATTATTACAATCATCACTATCAATATCGCTCTCACCATCAACAACAACATCTCGCATAAGCAGTTGTGTTTTATTACAGAACATTTCCACTTTTTATTTTATTTCTCCCAACAAACATCAACCAGGTTAAAATTTCTTTCTTTTTCTATCTATCTGTACCTCTATCCATCCATCCATCCATTCATCCATCTATTCATCCATCCCTCTATCCATCCAATATAACATTTTAACATCAATACAATTATTAATGTTGTTTATGTTTTTTTATCATTTTGTACCATGCACATGTGCCTAAAACCAAAAACAATTGTATTAGTGTGTGCTGTGTTAGTATGAAAAGGTAAAGTGTGTAAATTAGTAACGGCAGCCGTAATAATGCAACTAGTAGTAGAAGTAGTAGTAGTAGTAGTAGAAGTAGCAGTAGTAGTAATAGTAGTAGTAGTAGTAGTAGTATAGTAACGGTAGAAAAGTAAGTTTATTAAGTGGTAAGGGTGATAAGGGTAGTAGCAGTAGTGGCGGTAGCCTTTGCAGTATTTATGATTTGGTTAGTTCAGTTGCGCACCATAACTCTTTCTTTCTTCGTCTGGCTTGCTACAATCTTTTTATTGCCACCATCCAAGCAAGACAATCCTCTAATATTTCCAATTATCACTTTTGGTTTATTGCATTTTTTTATTCAGTTTTTTTGAGGAAAGATCAAAATACGACCGATTTTATTGAGCTCAATTTTGATTGCCTCAGTTTATCGATTTCATTTATAAATCAGTTTTATTAATATTTTTCTTCATAATTTTTCACTTTCTCTTTCTTTCTCCTTTTCTCTCTCTCTCTCTCTCTCTCTCTCTATCTCTCTCTCTATGGCTATTTCTTTTTTCACCTTTTTCCCATAGATTTCGTGTTATTATTTATTTTTTGTTTCATTTCGTGACCCCACTGTAAAAAATTCTCTCCATCTTCCCATGGTTTTATGCAACGGATGTTATTATCTTGAGAAATGTACTGCTGCTATGCGTGATTAAATTTAAATATACAGTTTTATATAAATGTACACAATTTATATGTCGAGTAAGCAGTAAGGTGTTTAGAATTTAACAACTTTATCAAAATTATATTCCAAAAGATCATTTTCTCATTTTCACACCATAGAAAATTTTCAATGATAAAGTGAATTAATTCATCATGTTTAGTATGTATAACTCAACTCTTACGATCATCATCAACATTATTATCATCATCAACAATCTCACTACGTTGTTTTTCATCATCAACAACATCATCATCTGTTCATCACCATCATCATAAGATCATTGCAAGCACCATCACCAGCAGAACACCATCATCATTATCTAAAGTTAATCTTGTCATCATGGTAATCATTTCCTCGCCTCGCCATCATCACAACCACCATCGTCGCCATTTCATCATCAGCATCATCAGACCACAACACCAGGTTTACCATTATTTCCTCTTTCGTCTTCCTTTTAATCCTAGCATTTCTTCTTTAGGATGTTTTGTTGGGATTATGTTTTAAAATGTTTTGTTGTGTTTGTTCTTTTGTCAGACCACTTCTGCTCATTATCATGTTACACGTTGAAAAATTAACTCAGTAATTCAATATTTTATTTCATAGACGTACTTTATTTTCATTGCATTATTCTGTTTATTTCCTTCATTTTAGCACATTTTTACTCGCCATGTTGCATATTGTAACAGTTTCTTCGACCGTTTCTCCGCGTTACCTCATGTTTGAAAATAACTGTATACAAAAATAAGTTAATTCAAGTTGTAGTTTGTTTGATCATTTGTTAGTAGTGGCGTTGATTATTCAATATTGTTGTTGTTGATTGTTGTTTTGATGATTTTTCGTAATAATATTCCATTAATTTTTTTTAATTATATTCAATTAATTTTTTTTAATTATATTCAATTTTGTGTTGTTTGCGTCATTTTGTTCAATTTATTAGTTAATAAACTGTTGATTCTTTGGAGATCAGACTGTATTTTTTGTTAAATGTTTAAAAATTTGAAATGAATGATAGGGTGAGGTTTCATAAAAAATTTGTCATATTTGGTTATATTTTTTCGATTTAATAACATACGGAGGCACCTTGCAATGATAATTATGATATTTAAATTTTCTTAATTATTTTTATTTAATTTTTATTTAATTAATTTATACTGATATATTTTTTAATAATTTTTTTCAAAATTATATGAATATTGAAAATTTATTTTATATCGAAGTTACATGACAAAAAGCCACACCACTTTACTATCTGATCAGCTGTAAAACCATCACAATCATCCTAGGCTTCCGACTCGTCAGCAAGAATATCAGCAAAGATTATTCAATAAAAATCGTCAATAACAAAACAAACAAAAACATCAACTACAATAATATCAACTACAATAACATCAACAACAATAACCACAACTAGAACAACAACAACTGAAACATCAACAACTGAAGAACATTAACTGAAGCATCAACAAACAAAGGCAACCAATTCTCACGTTGAAAAAGAAAAATCCCAACAGAGTTCCAATGTTGCAGTTCAGAAATCATTTACCGCCAGATGGAAACTGATTTTGTTTGAATGTTTGCCGCATGGCATCCAGACGATGTTATCAAATCATCGGACAACCATCGGACGAATATGAAACATTTTTTTAAAGGACGTACAAACATCATACAAACACCGTACAAACATCATACAAACATCATATCTACATCACACAATCATCATACAAACATCAACACCGTACAAACACCAAACAAACATTATACATACATCACACAATCATTATACAATCACATAGATATTATACAAACATCATACAACCATCATTCAAACATCACACAACCATCATACAAATATCACACAAACATTAAACCAGCTTCATACAAATATCATACAAACATCATACAAACACCATACAAACATTATACAAACATCATACAAACATCATACAAACATTATACAAACATCATACAAACACCATACAAACATCACAAAAACATCATACAAACATCATACAAACATTATACAAACATCATACAAACGTCATACCAAAAAAAAATTTTCAACTAACAACAATTTAATGACAACATTATGACACAAACAAAATGTCCAAACTATTTTAGTCCTCTCTTTTCATTCAAATTAAAAGCAAAACCTTTTCTGTGCTTCAGCCAGCCTGCTGCCTCATACTCAATATGAAGTTATGCCGGCACCATTTACTGAAACTTAACTCCATCATTAATCCATTCAATGCTTAATTGTATGTTGAATTTTCAAAAGCAAGTAACTCTTTGTTATGTGGTGTGTAAATAAAATAGTAAAAAATAGTTTGCATATTAACTCTTTTGTAAAATTTTATAAACATTACACATTTGTATCAAATTTTGATAAAATTATATATTATTAAAATATAACTCTAAAGAATTCAATTTAATTGAATAAAATTGAAAATTAAATGATTGTTTTATAATATTGAACGCACATTAACAAAACAGAAAAAATAATTTAAAAGCAACTGAAATGAGTTAATAACAACAGCAGCAATCAACAACAACCAATCAGCCGGCCAACTAATCAACAACAACCAACCAATCAGCCGGCCAACTAATCAACAACAACCAACCAACCAATCAACCAACTAATCAACAACAACTAACAAACCAATTAACCAACCAACCAATCAACATCAACCAACCAACACACCTTCTCACGACACTTCAAAAAAATCTAGCATCACAACTGACAACTCCTTCAAGAGATGCATTCAATTTTAATTACAGCCAGCAGTAACGCAGTTCGAAACATTTCACGCATGTAGTAACGTAACAAGAAGCAAAAATGCAACTCTCAACAGACTTGAAAATCTTAAAATATCATCTACTGATTCATATTTCTGCCATGTTCGTTGGCATGTATCTTGGCACTTACTAACCTGCACTTTTTAGCTTGAATAAATCTTAGCTGGGAACGAAACAAAAGAAGTATGCGGTCATGCAACTCCTGGCAGCAGCAGAATGAACAACGAAAACCGAAGCATAAACATGGTCTTTCGCGTCGAACAAACAACGTAGCGGTCATTTGCATTGAGAAAAAAAATAACTAAACATTCACAAACTCCATGACATAACAACGATGAGATAAAAAGTTTTTAAAAAATAAACACAAAATAAATGCACACACACGGACCATGCAAAAGTTCGTAGTGTTGTTACTTGTTTGTCAATACCATTTTTATACACATACATTTGTACACACACATACCCTACACATTTGTACACACCCACATACATTTGTATACACATACACTTGTTGCACAACCCACATACATTTGTATACACATACATTTGTACACACACAAATACTTTTAGTTATCCAATGCAAAACATGGAATAGCAGTCGAAAGCATCATCCCACTAAAATGTGTTATCGTTTTATGAGCTATTCACGTGACGCAGTTTCATCGTTGTTTTAAGTGAAAAAGAAGACTTTTACATTTGACAGAGGACCTGAGTTGAATGTTGGGAAAAGATGCTGGGTGCGCAAGAGGTTCGGAGGCCTCTAAAAATTCAGTGCAGCTGTGATTGTCTGTGAGGCTACCAGTTATTGTTTCGAGATCTCTAATTGGTATAATTATAAACATCAACTCGTCATAAAAGGCGTTCGATAAAACCTGGCAACATGTTTTCATAAGTTATCCCAGGTTCAACAAAAAAATTTAAGTTACGGTTTCTTATATCTCTTCCGTGGGCTTCATTTTTGTGGAAGTGGACCACACGCCGGCCTTCAATTCAATCCTTGTTTCTACTTTCACCTGGTTCTTACTATATAATACTTCAGAACAACTAATAAACTCTTAATACTTACAGATACTTGTTTCAGCTACGTATGAGTGTTGTTTGTGTTTACAAGATGCATCCACGAAAGCATGCGTGCTATGTGGCAAATTTTTAAAATTGATCAAAAAAGATCCAGAAGTTTTATCAATAGTTAATTTATTTTTAGTTACCTTGGGCATCTTTTTGCGAAACTCTTTCTGGAACATGGGGCATGTTGGTGGCTAAAAAATAGATTGAAGTTTATGAACAGATTTTAACTAGTTAAAACACAAGATGCAAAAATATTTTGCTACTGGCTATTTATTTTCTAGTATTTTTTCAAAATATTCAACTTTTAGTTTTTACTCTACTCGTTCAGTAGTTAATAGTACATGTATGTACGTGTTTGTGTGAGTGATTGTATACATGTTTGCTGGTAGGTACTCAAAAAATGGCTGTTAAATTTTATTTTGTATTTAAAATTGTCATTACATTTTGTTCATTTTTATAAAATTTTCTATGCAAACCACGTTGCAAACATTTATTTTGAATAAAAATTTATAAAAAAAAAAAAGAAATAAATGGGTTTGTGACAGTTGCCTAATAAACTGATCATTTGAATGCGAATCGATATAGAGGCTCTCAAATGGTGATGGATTGCAGAGAGTTAAATGCTCTGATGATAAATATACTTCCATGAGCATAAAGACATGAGCGCATTCATACAAAGTTTATCCGCATGTAACATTTGTATTTGATTTAAATTAGAAAAATAAAGTTGGGCAGAAATATTTATAACAATAATTTACATTCCTGCGATGAAATATTTAACTGGAAGAAAATAAAACAAATGTACAAAACAAAATTGAAGCTTGGATAAGAAAGTTCAAAATGAAAGATTCAATGAATTTATTGAAAAGTAATTTTCTCTTCAACAGAATCGCTAATCAAGTTAATTGTACTTGAGTACTAGCGTGTGTGTGTTTGTGTTCTGTTTATGTGTATGTGTGTTGTGTTTGTGTGTGTCTGTATGTGCGTGTTTGTGTGTGTTTTGTGTGTGTGTGTGTGTGTGTGTGTGTGTGTGTGTGTGTGTGTGTGTGTGTGTGTGTGTGGCTTTTTGGGTTTAAAAAACGGTCTTTCATGTTCAAAGCGTGTGTTTACGTTCAACTGAAAGATGTCCAGGCAGGAATACATGCACACAGGTATGAATACAGTTAGACACGAGAGTGAATAAACAAATGAACAAATAATTTTAAATTATTTCACACACAGTCGAGTACATTCACGCCAATTGGTCGAATGTACTCGCTACGGAAACATGGCTCCCGGTGGATATTTTTTTATTTAATGAAAATTGTTATTACGTTTTTCTTCAGAATTCTCTTGACCATTCATTATTTTCAGCGTAATGATTTTACTTACATTCGTTGTTTTGTATCTATCAATCTATTTACATGTACATGCATACATATATATATCATCATATATATCATCATTACGTAATGTATCTAAACCCCATTCATCATACATCACATGTCTAAGCATGCATACCTCCATTTATGAACCTGTTCCGTACTTATAGACTAATAAAAAGATGGACATATTTTATGTTTGTTGAGTAAGCGGGCAGTAATTAAAACATTTTATGAATGCTAATAACAACGAACCTAAAAAAGTTCATCCTACAAAGTACAAGCATTGAAAAAACTTAAAAGAATGCACTTCTAAGAAAGATTTCATTTTTGTAATGTTTTGATGTTTTTATTCCAGCATGTTTCATTGCGCTTCGTTTCCATACAGTGCGTTTTTAAACTAACTTGCATAAACGAACAAAAGAAGAAACATTGGAACGTTCTGTTAAAACAATGGAAAATAACAGAAATTTACGGGAAGTTAAATAAATACAAAACACTTCAGTGTTTTAAATGTGTTTTTTAAATAATGAATAATTCAAAAAATATGAACATTCACTTTTTTAACTAAAACAAAAAAATTTTTAACAGTTTTAAAACTAAGCCTGATGCGTTAGAGCCGACAAAAAGTTTTAAAATACTGTGCAGTGTTAACAAGTTCTTAAAAATTACATAAAAAAATGTTCTCGCCGCCTGCTTCCTTTACGCCGCAGACGCACGCAACACGTTCACATTCGTTGTTGAAGGCAAGCCGGCTATATTTCACCACGCTTCATAGTCCAATTCAAATGCATGCAAGACGTTTGAAACATCACTCAACTATCTCTCTCTCTCTCTCTCTCTCTCTCTCTCTCTCTCTCTCTCTCTCTCTCTCTCTCTCTTCATGCCCACTCAACTTTCATTAAACATTCTATTATTTGACTGACTCAAAAAAACACAAAACTAAACATAAACGTGTGACTATTTTTAAAAAACTGTTAAAAATTTTCTGTTGGCTTCACTATCGAATCCTTGTTCTTACTTTTTGACAATTCAATTGATTTTTTAATAGTCTAAGATAATTTCGACCATATGAATCTCCGAAACCGTTTTAACAAGATGAAAATATCTTGACTGAAAAGTTTTCTGTAAGAAGAACACACAAGGAGCACACATCAACTCAACTGTGTGTATTGTAAGTTAGCGAAACGGGGAAAAATACATCTCACAAACGTCCAATGTCTCGGTGTATTGTTTTTTTTGTGTGGTTGACTTTGACGGCGTTCGTTTTTATGCTGTCGTTTTTGTTGTCGATATTTTTTGCTTTTGTTTTTGTGTTGGTGTTGCACTACTTGAAGTTGTTGTTGTTGTTGAAGTTGCTACTAATTTTGATGAAATTGACAAGGAATTCAAATATGTGCAGAAATATTTGCTACAACGGTGTCAACAAATGGTATAAATTGCCTGATTCCATACGACGCTGTTTCATATTTAGACCTTTTAGATTTAAACTAAAAACTTTTCTGTTGTGTTTATTTATCTTAAAATAATAATTTTACGTGTTTACACTATTGATAAGATGGAAGTTGTTTTTTGGCCTGAGTAACTGCATTGCTTTTACCAAGACAAGCTTGTACATGTGCAAATATGAACACGCGTATGTGCATTGTGTTAGTGTTGCTGTGGACATCTTTGTAAATGTCAGTAGATGTGTAAATGATCGAATATTTGTCTAGCAGATCAGACGTTTGATTGTTTGATTGTGATGTTGTAAATTTTTTAATTTAATGATGGATACCTATAGCTATTTGTCTTAAATATTTTTTATTTATAAATTTTTTTAATTTTTTTATCTCATTTTTAATTTTTTTATTTCATTTTTATTAATGATAATTTTGCCTAATTTAGTTCTCAGTCTTTCATATCAATTTACACATGTTTTTTATTGTCAGTTTAAATTATTGTTATCTTTCAATTTCAAAAATTACTTTCTATTGTAACTGTTTCTTTTGCTGGTTTTAAACTCGCCAGAGTTTGCATTACCTTTTTTTCGGCTGGGGTTATTTTCATCTTTAGTTTTTTTTATTGTGATTGATTTTATTTCATATATGTTTAATCTTGCGTGTGTGTTGTGTGTGTATTGTGTGTGTGTGTGTGTGTGTGTGTGTGTGTGTGTGTGTGTGTGTGTGTGTGTATGTGTGTGTGTGTGTGTGTGTTTAAATGTATGCGTTCATTAGTATGAGTTTATGCGTATACATGTATAATGTGTTTCAAAAATTGCTTTCAAATTATAAACTTCCTATGTTACTCTTTATTTTTCTAGCATAAAATTGACATTGTCATGTGTGCTGGAGAATTAGTTGAGAGTTATTTTTTTAGAAGACCCCCTTTGTAAATTTATAAATTATGAATTATGAATTTACAATAAAGGTCAGCGGTGGTGAGTGGTGATATGATGCGATAAGATGTTATCACCTCATATGTGTTTTAATGTTATTTTGTTATTGTTGTTGTTTGTTGTTGTTGTTTGTTGTTGTTGTTGCTGTTGTTGTTGTTGTTGTTTGTTGTTATTTGTCGTTGTTGTTGTTTGTTGTTGTTGTTTGTTGTTGTGGTTGTTGTTGTTGTTGTTGATGTTATAATTGATTTTATTTATAATTGTAGCTGGTCAAAAGTGTTGTTGACGTTGTTTCGAGCAATCCTGTGCGACAAAATGCATGTCATTCAATTTTGAGTTGTATGGCGTCACATTCGGTTGCACATACATTGAAGACGCGTTACTGTGTGACGATACTTGCCAACAACTATTCACAAGAAGTTGTTTTTTTTATCTTTTTCGCTTAGAAAATGTTTATTTCAATGCAAATGGTTGAAAATAATTTATAAAGTTGCTTAAATTTTTGTAATATTTTAAAAATATTTCATTATTAACTTTCATCCGTAAAAATGTTTAAAATGATTTCTGCAAATTCAATTGAACGCTATCTTTAATAGAGTGACTGGCAAGTTTTTTTAATCAAGTTAGCATTATTATGGATTAGAATTCCTCATAACCCATCTCCAAAATTCAACCAAATTTCTTTGTTCTTTTATAAAAAAAAAAAAAAAGGTTAAAACTTAAAGGTTGGTGGTCTTAATATATGTACACATGGGCTACAGATTTTATAACTCTTCTAAAGTTAAGAAGGATCAGCCACACACAAACTGTCGAGCAGCGCATCTCACACAACGCATGTGATAGGGGGCGGTCCTTTCGTCATATTCAAGCTCGGTCACTTCCGGTGACTTTATTCACTACGACATCACACCGCTCGTTTATATTTGAAGTTATATTTTTAAAATTTATAAAATTTTGAGAAAGACAAAGATGGGAACTACGATAACGGCGATGAGGATGTTGCCGCTGCTGCTGCTGATGACGACGATGATGATGACGATGATGATAGTGATAATGATGAAGAGGAGGAGGATGACAAAGAGAATTATGATGCTGGTGATGATGATGACGACGACGACGATAATGTTGTTAAAAATACTTTACGTTGAATGGTTCTGGAAGTTGTTAGGATGGAGAGATTGAAGCTGACCAATCATGTTCAATTATCTGAGACTTGTTTTTTCCATCAACATTGCTATAAAGCAGAACCATTATTTTTATTTTATTATTATCGTTGTTGTTGTTATTATTATTATTTATTTGTATTATTATTATTAGTGGTAGTAGTAGTAGTAGTAGTAGTAGTAGTAGTAGTAGTAGTAGTAGTAGTAGTAGCAGTAGTAACAGTAATATACGTAGCAGTAGTAGCAGTAGTAGTAGTAATATTAGCCGTAACTAGAAAACAACAAACGACCACGTGACAACAAACGACCACGTGACAGCAAACCACCACGTGACAACAAACCACCACGTGACAACAAACCACCACGTGACAACAAACCACCACGTGACAACAAACCATCACGTGACAACAAACCACCACGTGACAACAAACCACCACGTGACAACAAACCACCACGTGATGTGCTTGTTGTTATCAAATTAGCCTGGAAGTATCCGTGGTCCCACTGAAACTCCCACGTGTACACCCAAACGGCCTGAGGTCTTTTGAAGCAAAACTTTAAATTGAGTTGAACGAACGGATTAAAGAAAAAATTTTACATTAAACGCTAAAAATAAATTGGTAAACAAAAGCAAGAAAAACGTTAAAACGGATTTGTTGATGAGAAGAACGCTAGTAATGGAAAGTTTTGGAAGATGTTGAAAATCCCTTTAATAAAAAGTTCGTAATAAAATTTCGGCATCTAAAATTTTTCAAATATTTAAATGACGCCAAATTGAACTGGTTCAGGAAGATTTACTAATATATTCATTTTTTATTTCACATGTAATGCCTGTGATTAGATCGACCACCAACAAATGCCTTTGATTGTTTAAAATTAATTCAATTAATTTTTATCCAATTTTGTTTGGCAAGCCATGCCACCATGAAGACAAGCTGGGGCAGCTGCTTCAACGATGTGAAACAAATGAAAGAAAAATTCGTCGGTGGAAATTCAACAAATCAAATTTCAAATCAAAACATCGCGGATATCAATTAAAATATTAAATTAACGTTGATGAACTTCAAATTATTGGAAGAGTAGCCAAGTGAGGAGTTGAAAATTCGCTTTTACAAAGATATGTTAAAATGAGCACAATCAGCAAAAGTGAACACTCGTACAAATGAGCACATTCAATAAAGGTGAACACTTATACAAACGTGCACATTCGACAATGGTGAACACTTATACAAACGAGTACAGTCAACAAAGGTGAACACTCGTACAAACGAGCACATTCAACAAAGGTGAACACTCGTACAAACGAGCACGTTCAACAAAGGTGAACACGTTCAAACGTGCAGCACAGGTATCTGACACGTACTTGTTTATTGAATTCCTAATCTCCGTCGTAAATACTGACCCTGAAAATTAATTTCCATTTCATTCTCTAGATGGCAGCCTCCTTCGATCATTCCGTCATCATGAGCGCCTTTTATTGCATTGAAATGTGCACGTTGAAAGTAATAAAGTGCTTAATGTGGGAAGCATGCTTTGTCTCGCGCTGTTTCTCTCTGTTAATAGTAATATTGCGTTTGGGTATGCCTGCGTGTCTCCGTGCGTGCGTGCGTGTATGTGTGTGCGTACGTGCGTGTGTGTGCATTGCGGATGGTTCGTAGATACTAGTGAGGGAGTTTGCATGTTTATGGGACCACTAACGCTTAGTTCAAGTATTGATTCAAGTGAACTTCGTCAGTGCATTGAATACTTTTCAAAATTATTTTCCTCTCTCCATCAACCGCATTCATATTTTTGTCAATAATATTGAACGACGTTCACTGCAGACGGGAGCCCAAATTTATATCGGACGGTCATGCACTCCAAGCCACTCATTGACACTGACAACATCCACGCATTTGTTGTGCACCCTGCAACTCCATCAGTTTAATGCAACAAATTCATTTTAGTTTTGATTTTTTATATGATTTTTACTTATTTCAAACGGTCATAAATTCAGCAAACTAAATTTTTAACTGACGATGATAGATTTATATTAGAGATATATCATGTAAATCCACTGATGAAAAAAAAACAGAGAATACCGAGAAATTTATTTTTTAACGGTTAACATTTTACACATTTGTAAAACACATTGGCTTGGTTAATAATAAAAACGAAGATTTTACAATGATAAAAATATAATAATTTAAAAGCATTATATGCCCAATTTCATTAATTTTCTTTTTTTAATAGTAACCCAGAAATTACATTTGTATACAAGTTGAACTTTAGAAGTCTTTAAAAATAAAGATGAACGACTGAGAAATATACCGACAATAAATAACCCGTTCCGTCTGGAAGGAACATCCCCATAATAAAAACTTTTTATAGCAAGTCTGCCGGGTATGGTACCGTAGCATGTGCAAAAAAGTGTATTGACATGAGACTACGATGGTTAGAAGTTGCTGATCCAGATTATAGGAGTGGTATAACTTTTGAAGTTGACGACTTTTTTATTCCTCATCTTTCTAACAATTCGATCCTTTTAATGTCAAAACCAGAGTCATCATATCAAGTTTGTTGTTACTAATAAATTTTCATTTATGTCTCCATCTCCGTTACTTTTCAATTATTAGATTCAAATTCATCACCGTTTAATTTTAAAAACACAATATTATAACGCAAAAATATGTTACGGAGTCTTAAAACATTTTCTTCTTTTACAGCTTGAGGACAGGAGGAATCATAAACACATTCATCTACTCTGAAAATAAAATGTCATAATTGACAAAAAAGTATGTGGAAAATAAACAAAATGTTGGGTATAAATTGAAAATTTTCGTCAACTTTGACAGAAAAGTTGAAAATAATGTGCTCAAAACAGCAAATCAGCGTATAAAATTGTCATGTAAAATCTTGTGTGCAAGTAAGGTAGTTCCAATTTTAACTTTTTTAAAGAATAAAACTAATTTTATGCTATTTAAATAGATTAATTGAATTTTAATCAATAATCTCTATTTTATTTTCCAAGTTTTATTATTCCAATTATAAATAAAAGGTTAGTGAGTTAGCTCAAACGGTGAAGGTACCAAAATTTGCGTCGTTTTCGTTGCTATTGCGTGAGAACCTGGTTCGAATACTCTCTTTCCGAGACTCAAAGACTATCATATTTCTTGTTCGTAGGATGCTGTGCGTGGTGTGTACGTATTAATACATATGTATGATTGTGTATGTACGCTAAGTGGTTCAGCAGACGTACTGATTATGTGGTAGAAAAATTTAATTCTATCTGGGTTAGTTAGGAACAATATTGTTATATTCGCTGGAATGTTTGTATTGCTCTATATAATTAATTTCAATTATTTGTTATCCTTGGTATCACTTTATTCAGGTTTGTACCGTTAAAAATGTCCAATTTCTTTTTTTAAAGTCAAATTTCCATTTCTCTGCTTGCACTATTTGTTATTTTCGGCATAAAACTTGAAACTTTCTTAATATTTAGCATTTATTAAATTGTTTGTTATAAAAAAAATGTAAAATATTGTATTTCACGAATATAAGAAATAGATTTTTTATAAAAATGCAATTATCAAACAGTGTAGCATAGCAATCATATATGATGCATCCTTAGTGACATCTAATAAATACTTCTAATGTCACATGTAGGTTTTAATTTCTTGTAAACGAATGAATGAAATGTTAATTGTGTAAATCTCGCTTTTTTTACATTCATCAACTTCGTAATATTTCTTCCATCAAACTATCAATCTTTCAAAAACTATTGTCAAATCAATTTCGTTTATTAAAAGCCAAAATTTGCATTATAAATATAAAAAATCTATAATATATATTCTATCTATATATCTATAATATATATAAATTCTACCGAATGTTTGGCGTTAATATGTTTGTAGTTCGTTTTTTCAATTTTTCTCACTAAAGTTTTTTGGTCACATAAAAATGTCACACCAACCAACCCAAATAGTAAAGTTAAACTCCGAATTTATTACAACAATAAAAAGACGTCTCACCTAATACTAAAAAACAACTGCAGTCCTAGAGATAACTCTGAGTTAAAGCGTAATCACGTAATATATGAATTTAATTGCCCCTTTGACGGCTGTGCACGTCAATATGACTCATATATCGGGATTACTACTACCTCACTGACTAGAAGGCTTACGATGCATAAACAGAGTGGTGCTATCAAATCTCATTTGGACTCAACACACTCAATCACAATTAGCCGTGAAATCCTCGAGAGCAACACCAAAGTAATATACCAGAACAGCAACTACACGCATCTTAAAATTCCAGAAGCAGTCCTAATTGACATCAATAAACCAAAAATAAATATACAACAAAAAATGACAACCTCACTTCGAACCCAGCGCTTAACCAACAACGAAAACAAAGAAGTAATAAAAACTAGCATCGTAAATAGTGACAAAGAAGAATATGATGCTATCGATGAAGAAAAGGAGACCAAAGAAGATGACCAGCCAATAAAGAAACCTGACACCTAATTCGCATCAAAGTTCAATTTTACAACACCAAAGTTAATTTTTACAACGTCAAAGTTCATCTTGACTAAGTCAATATTTCCCTATATATACAGCAAGGAGCACTGATGATGATTCATTCGGAATCGAAATATGGCCTTATTTGCAGCATGAATTCGAAAAATAAGTTTATTTTGAATTTTAATAAACTAAACGTTCACCAAAAAACTTTAGTGAGAAAAATCGAAAAAACGAACTACAAACATATTAACGCCAAACATTCGGTAGAATTTATAGAATATTGTAAAAATTATGGTCTATTACCAACATATATATATATATATATATATATATATATATATATAATATGTCAATAATATTATTATAATATGTCAAGTTTTAATTGTGCTGACTTTTATCATTTTTTTAAATTAAAATCAAAATGTCCGCAACCCAATATAAAAAATATAAAAATAGAAATGAATAGTTTTTAAAGCCACATTTATTTGATTAAAAGTTATGCTAAAGCCAAAAAATTGTCATTTCCCAGAAAAAATAATTTAAAAGGGCAACATCAGGTGGCAGAAGAAGGCAGAAACTGCTGAGACTGCAAGGAGGAATGCTGAGATGAAGTGTGATGGATGGGGAGAGGAGCTGCGTTGGCTCTGCTGGAGGACGATGGTGCAACACCCCAACCTTCCTCCGGCGTTTCCCGTTGTGTTGCTGAAGGTGCTGTTGCCCTTCCCGAGGTCATCTTCCAATTGGTGGACCTGGTTGGTGGTTGGATGGCAGTTTGATTGACCAATAATTAATTAAATGGTTTCACTTCATTTGATGACAGGTACAATTACAACATTTTTTGTTGGTGTTTTTTTTATTTTTCTTTTCAAACAAACATTTGTTTGTTTGTAAAGTTCAAAGGTGACTGTTGGAAAGCAAATAAGTTCGAAATATTAACGAGTGCCATTATGTGAATGCTTGATAACGAATTAAATTTAAAAAAAACACTAATAACCTTGATATTATTAACTTGAAACCAAAAGCTTGATATTTTTCAAGAATTTATATTCATCATTAGGTAGTTTTGTTTTAATGTGTTATGCATATTCGAGACGCATCGATAGTTTACATTTATTCGTAATCTTTCCACTTTAAGAAATGCTAATGAGACGATGTTTATGAGACGATGTTAATGAGATGATGTTAATGAGATGATGTTAATGAGATGATGTTAATGAGATGATATTAATGAGATGATGTTAATGAGATGATGTTAATGAGATGATGTTAATGAGATGATATTAGCATTTTCGTCGTCGTCATCATTGGCCCACATGCCGCTTCAACATTCCGATCAATGCAAATCAATGTAAAGTAGATCGACCAGTCCTACATATGCAGGTCAACCAACCTTTGAAGAAGTGCAGACTTTTTAAAATCCGTTGCATTCAATACACTATACAAACACTTTTTCTCAAGTTTTAAATAAACATAGGCGCAAGTTCACACAACACACGCCCAAACAACCAACAGAATTTTTATAAAACTTTATAGTATATAACCGAAAATGTAGAGATTGTCAGCTCGCAATCTAAACTTATATTCAAAATCCACTATTTCATTATTTCACAACTAATTGTTTCAATTTAACACCTCATACCAACGCATCACTTCTCTGCGCGTTTCTGTTTGTTTCATTCTGTTCGCCTCACTTCAATCATTATTGCATAACAACATGTCTTTCACCTCAAACTGATTAAAAACTTTTTGCATGTTTGTATGCCTAATTTTTTAAACGCGACTTACTTATAAGTGACATTCAAAACTTCAACTCTATGTCAACATTTGTGCCGTACACTTGCACATAATAATACTCGCTAATAGCTTACAAATACATAGAGGCAGCGTAAAAGTCATTGCACTTCAGCTATGAATGTGTATTCAGACACACACGCGCTTGTTTTATTTATTAAAGATAATTTAATTTCGTCGCCTTGAAAAGCATGAATGTTATTTATAATAAACTGTAGCTATCAGTAAGATGTTTCTGCATTGTGTTCAGTGGAGGCACGTTGTTTGATATGTACACACAAACACACACACACACACACCCACACACACACACACAATGTTTGTCTTGAGTTGATCTTTCATCAAAGATTCTTGCATACCAACAACATTTAACAGTCTTGATTGTCGCATGTTTATTTGTTTTTAAATCAGGTGGTATGATATACGTACTTTTAAGATATGTTTATATTTCATTGTATAAGTATGAATATCAATGAGATACAAAAAGCGCACTGCACACAGCCCATGTGGGCAAAGGTTAAAGGGTTAAAGGTTAAAAAAGAGCACGCAGAACTCACTAACCACGATTGACCTGTTGACGATGCCGTACTGTCCATCCAACTTTATGATGTTGTCAGTCAGGGTTATGACGGACGCCCCATTGATCGCGTTGATGTTGCCCAGGTCACCTACGTGTCTGGTGCTTTATATGTGGGTGGATGGATGGATGGATAGTTAGATGGATGGTTGGATAGATGGATAGATGGAAGGTTGGTTAGATGGGTGGATGGATGGTTGGATAGATGGATGAACAAAAATTAGGTAGGTAAATAAATTGATGCATGGATAAATAAATTGATCAATAAATATTTTTTTCGTAAGCAAAAATAGAAACAATCAATTAGGCTGAAAAAATTTCGTCGATGAAAAAATTAAAAAAAGAAGCGAAAGCCACTTTCGGCCGAGTTGTTCGTTTCGATAGCACGCCAATGACAACAAATAATGAGACCACTTGCGATGATTAATTAAAAAAAATTTTGAGAGGACCGAGTTGAAATTGTTTGCTAAAGTGTTTATATAGAGGACTGCTTCAGTAATTATAAGACGCTACTGTTGCTATTTTCGTGGATGGATGGATGAATGGATGGATGGATGGATGGATGGATGGATGGATGGATGGATGGATGGATAGATGGATGGATGAATGAATGGATGGATGGATGGATGGCT